GGGGGAGATGGAGAGGTGGGGGCGAGAGATGGAGAGGTGGGGGGGAAGAGAATGAGTCCTCAAGGGAATTTTTTTATTATTTGGAGGAAAAAGTGAGACTGGAGGGGTCCCTAACATTCTCAAAATGCAGCTTCAGAGGAAAAGTAACAGAGGGACACAGTTAAAGCACGTGCACATACATACACACTCTTTGTATTTGCCCTTTGGGAAAAAAATCAGAACCTAACTTTTCTCCAAGATACTCTATTTTCATATATATCTTCCAACTTGCTTTGTTTTAAAATGAATTTTAACGTATGTTCAACATGAAGCATATTTGCATGTGCTTCTTTGAAAACGTTCACTTTGGCCTCAGAATTTTTTCAGTATGTTATTTTTATGCAGGTCAAGTATTTACCTCAAGAATTAATTTTAAAACCAGGATTGAAAACAAGTAATTGAGAATAAAGCCTTCCTGGATCAACTTAAACTTTCTGAAATATTACCTTGGCTTTATTAACCTCATTTTGGTGTGGACAGACAGACAGGTATGCCCAGAAAAATAAAACAAAAGAATATGAAGTATATGGATCTCACACATACACACGCAGATAAACACACACGACACGCATATGTGCACAGAGTTTCTCTTTCATAAACATTTACGGTGGGGTGATTTAAGAGGAGGCTCTTTTTCAAGGTTTTAGATTTTAACCAGTTCACAGGCTTTGATTTCCTGGGAAAACTTTGCTGTTTTAAAGGGAACCACATAGACACGCCTATGCACGGACTCTGGGGGGACAGTCAATGACAGTTCACAGACATTTCAAATAACACCCACAACTGACTTGCCCCCCACTCAAGATTCCTTCTTCAGTGTCTCAGAGAACTGGTCTGTCATTTATTTTTCTGAGCTTTACGGCCAAGCAAAATGCCAGTCCACTGCCCTGCCTCCCGTGTGACCCGGGCCGGCCGGTGCCAGCACGTGCTCGCGTGCGCGCAGGCCGCCCACCCCGACTGCGTACCTGCTTTGCGCCGAGTTTGCAGCGGCCTGCATCACTGCGGCGGCCGCCTCCTGTGCCTTACGGTTCACGGTCGGCATTGGTGGCCCCATTCCTGGCCCTCCCTGCTGAGACATGCCAGGAGAGCTGGGGGTCATGCTGCTCATATTTCCAGGAAACGGTCTGTTCTGCATCCCAGCTGATGGCATTCGTCCCAGGGGCATAGCACCACATGGCTGGCCTGGCCCTGCTCCATGCATCTGGTTGTTGGCATTGATGCCCACGCCAGGCCCTGGGCCGCTGTAGCTTGCACTGGGCACCCCACTATATGTCGGGGGTCTGGAGTAGTTACCTAAACAAAAACCAAACAAACACAAATTAAAGCCTTTTACTTACTATCCGAACATGTGAAACATTCACTGGGAATACTCCGTGTCCAACAGTATGATCAACACACACAGTCACTTGCGTTAACCCTTTCCCGTTGGCCTGCGAGGCCAGTCTCAAACATGCTCTTCTGCACATTCCAAAGGCAGGAGCCACACAGGACAACACAGCGTGGAAGGGAAACCCAGCTAAGTAACACGGTCCGTGAACAGGTACTAGATGCCAGCACGGGCGCTGCTCCACCCCAACGCGTCCCACTCTTGCACTTCAACCCGAACCATCACTCCAGTTCCACTCCGCTCGCACTGGACCCAGGGCCACACTCGACAGTTAGGGTGGCGGGTTCAGAGATGGCGCGGAAGAAATGCACAGATGGGCAAGATCAGCACCCAAGGTGCTGCAGGAGGTGCCGTGAGGAAACTCGACATTGGGCCAGCACAGTCTGTTTTCCTCTGGTGTTGGGAACATTTTTATTTTTTTGGCTTGAGCACCAGACAAAGTGGCTGGTTTGTCCTCGGTGCCACGTCTTATGAAACACAGTTTTAAGTACTGGAACGAAACTCCGCACAGTGGATGGTGGCACCTGGGAAGCAGGAGGGGCCCGAGACGAGGAGCCACCCCCCCCCCCCC